AAAAAAAAAAAAAAAAGTTTGTTCTCCAAAAGTTAAAAAGAGTGAAATTCAACGTCAATAAATGATATATGTGCCTGAGATCGGTAAAGTCTATTAAAAAAACAAAAACTTTGAATTAGGGTTAGAGAGATGGCCCAGGGGTTAAAGAAATGATGGCCGGGCATAGTGGTGCACACTTTTAATTCCAGCACTTGGGAGACAGAGACAAGTGGATCTCTATAGTTCAAGGCAAGCTTGGATTACTGCTGCAAGCCGCAGGAAAATGTAATGGAATTCAGCTATCTCAAAAGCTACTACTTGGAAAGGTCAAGGACTTTTCCTAAGGTCGAGCCATGGCTTAAGAAGTCTTGGTGATATTTCTGCTTTTGTATATATATTAGCCGATTCCTGCAATGATTTCCTTGTATACTATATATGCTTCCAAGAACTCATAATGGTGCATTTTATCTGAAATACCTATCAAGCATCCAACGCCAAATGATCTTCTGAATTAAGGTAAATTAAGCTCAGACCCTCCCTTATACAGCCTTAGTGTTATTTATACTAACATTATAGACTCCTAACATTTACCTAACCACCTCTAGGAATGCAGATTGAGTACATACATTCCCTTTGCGGGGTGGGGGTTCGAGACAGGATTTCTCTGTATAGTTTTGGTGCCTGTCCTGGAGCTCGCTCTGTAGACCAAGCTGGCCTCGAACTCACAGAGATCCGCCTGGGTCTGCCTCCCGAGTGCTAGGATAAAGGTGTGCGCCACCACCACCCAGCGAATAAATTCCCTTTTTGATAGATTAACCAGTCTTAGCTCTCAGTTGACCTCCTCCTTTAACCACTCCCCTTTTGGGTTGTAAAAGAAAGCCTGAACTCTTGTCTGCCTTTATGACCCTGTAAGAATTCAAGCCTGGTGGCCTTGCTTTAGCTAGAGCACTGCTATTGCATGGGTATATAACTGTAAACCTCAAGAGACTGAGGAGGATTCTTGGAGAACTAGAAGAAAGAGATGGAAGATGAGGAAGAGCCAGATGGGGAAGAACAAGATGAGAAAGACCAAGATGGGGCAGAACTAAGATGAGAGAATTAAGATAGAAGTTAGAGGGGACGATAGATAAATGTAGAGAGAAATCAGGGAAGAAAGGAGCTAGGCACGAGAACAGAACTGAAGCTGTGTAAATAGAATTTTATCCCAGAGGAATAAAGTAGACTGACAAAAGAGTTTGGTGTACTTAGATTCTTTTCCCAAAAATAATTCTTGCCATTTGTAGCTTCTCTTCTGGGCCCCTGGGAAGAAGAATGCTAAGGCTGGTCCTTAATATTTGAGAGCTTACATAGTGAGTTCCAGGCCAGCCACGGCCATATAGTAAGGCCCTGTCCTTAAAAATAAAAAGGGACGCTCGATGCCTTTGCAGAGAACCAGGGTTCAGCATCTATGTATCACAACTCTCAACTCTAACTACAGCAACAGGGACTCCAATACCCTCTTCTGGCCTCCGAGGGTACCCAAACACATGTGCATGTGTATATGTGTGTGTGTGCACACACACAGAGACAAACATACAAACACATAAATAAAAATTTTAAATACTTTGAATTAATAGATAAGAGAAGGGCTAGAACGATGGCCTAGCAGTTAAAGTACTTGGATCACAACAGTAACTCCAGTTACAGGGAATCCATACCCTCTTCTGGCCTCCACATGCACCAGGCATGCACATGGTGCGCATACATACATGCAAGCAAAATACTCCTCTACCTAAAATAATAAATCCTAAACATATTAAGAATACGTTCAGTATGTTTTGAGAAGGTCTCAACATGCAGTCCAAACTGAAGTAGTCTCAAACCGAACTCCCTAATTTCCTGCCTTAGCCTTCATGCTACTGGAATTGTGGCCACAATACCTTTAAGGACTTTTTTTCTACACCAGTGTCATGAAAATGGCCCCCAGAGGCTCATATATTTGTATGCTTAGTGCCCACTTGAAAAACTATCTAGAAGGACTAGGAGGTACATAGCCTTGTTGAAGGAGATGTGTCCTTGTTGGAGCAGGTGTGTCCCTGGGGGTGCGCTGCCTGCCTGCCTGCCTGCCTGCAGATCAGATGTAGCTCTCAGCTACCCTCCAGTGCCATGTCTCCTATTTGTACCGTCCTGCTCCCCACCATGGTGATAATGGACTAGCCCTCTGAAACTGTAAGCAAGCTTCCAATTAAATGCTTTAAAAATACATAAATACATACATACGTAAGTAAGGGTTGCTGTGGTAATGATGTCTCTCCACAGCCACAGAGTCATGACGAAGAGAATTTCCCCAAACTCAGTCTTAAGAAACAATAATTTGTTTATTACCTATCAGCAAAAGGGCAGGGTTGGAGAGACGTTTGCTCAGTTTAACACATCACAAAAGGACAAAATTCAGCTAATTCAGTCCAAAAATGGCAATGGGAGAGTATTCATTTGAAGCGTTATTTCTCTGTCTCGGCTCTTCCAGGATTCTTTTGCTAAACTTGAGCTAGGACCTACAAAGAGGCCTGTAACACCACGTGCATGAGGCTTGAACACAAAGGGGAAGTAGGGCCTTCTGACTGAAGAAGTCTTACGCGCACAGAAAGACAGGTTCCTATGGGCCCACAGTCAGCTGCTGCATACAGCCCCAGGATTTCTGCATACGTATCTCTTTGCTGTCAATCCAACAGTCTACTCATGAGCATTGCGCTCTGCACTAATTTGTGAAGTTCCTGAATGTTACACCTGAAGGTGTCTGGAAAAGCTTGAGATGGGCGTCAGCAACTCCTGAGTCTGAGTCATTGATGGAAGTGTTATTTAAAATAGCTGGTTAGGCCGGACACTTTCGTGAGGAAATCTGGGCCCTCCCGACTCTGCCTCAGTTATATGGGAAATGTCCTTCATTGGATGATTGGCTGGGCGGGGGAGGAATACTTTTGAAAGCACATTTCACTGGTACTATGATTTCACGTGTCATTTTAGCCAGCCGAGAACATCCCTGACATCCATACTGACTTGAGGCTAAGGATACAGTTCACTGGTAGAGCAATTACTTAGCAAGCAGGAAGCAAGCCCTGAGCTGACAGTCCAGTACTAAAAAAGCCAGCAAAAGAACTGACTCGACACAGACATTTAGTGTCATTAGACAACCTGACAATCACAGCGAGGCCACTGTTTTAGAACAACAACTGATCAGACAAGATCATGCTGTCGATGGACAAGTCCAGCTTAGAAGTTTTCTAAGCAATGCAAAAAAAAAAAAAAAAAAAGTTTTTGTTTTTTTTTTTAAATTAAAAAGAATTTATCTGTTGTTAGTAACTTGTAACCCAATAGTCTGGCAATACAAATAGTGGCCGCGTAGTGTGGTGGAGTAATACAAGTAATTACCTATGCAGAACAGCTAACTGCAGGTTTGTGTTGTACCAAAAGAAAAGCAGTCTTTGCGTATATTTTGAAATTTAAAATAGCATCAATTTTTTTAAAAGTGCCCTCCAGCAGTAAAAATGTGAACTTTTAAGGAGTGACTGGGTTATGTCACAGTTGTGTACCACACCTAAACAGTCCGGTCACCTCTGTCACGCTGTCAGCAATGAGCTGGAAACACCCAGAACTACGTGATTACTAGCCAGTTACTATTCGCTCAGGGAAAATAACTCAGAATCCACCTCAGCCTCCTATGTTCTGGGATGATAAGCATGGGCCACCACATCTAGTGAGAGCTTTGTTTTGAAACTGGGACTGGGGAGACGACTCTGTAGAGGTAAAGCACTTGTTGGGCAAGCCTGAGAACCTGAGTTCGAATACCCAGAACCACGTGGGGCCG